CTCCCCTTCAAAAATGACCAGCAGTAATGCAGATCTAATCTCTTTCTATCATCGTGGTAGGTCCCAAAGGCTGTCCATTTCCCCCCAAATGCCTCATCTTTCTGTCTTTGAAATAAATGAAAGTCCACAGGGCGGTGGAATAAAGATGAGCTAAGCCTTTGACTTGATGCGAGATTGCCAAAGGGCCCAAACTTAAGAAGTCTGCCCCCCCTCATCTGCTGCACAGAGATACTACGGCCAGTAAGAAACCAGATAATCTGATAGAATTTCAATCAACAGCGATCAGATAAGAAATAACAAAATGTATGATTTTAAAGTCGCACGGAAGCTCCGGCAGTTCAACCCTTTTCCGCTTTTAGTTGGAAATGAACATTTCTGTAGCAACAGCCTGAACTCCAGTCAAACTTCATCTCTGAAATCTTATTCCGAGGATTATAACACTCTGCTGCTCTCATTCGAATACCCCTGAACTTAGGTATGCTCATATGACCCGTATTACACTCTTGGTGATTGGATTACTCATTTATTGGCCGGTGGCGGTGTTTACGGGGCATGTAGAGACTCAGCGCAGCTTTGATCCACCAACAGAAGCAAATATGAGGGCTGCTGCATAGTTTACATCCTGGGCCTAAGCCTTGTGGTGTGCGAGGCATCTGCTAAATCCTCCCGGATCAAAGGATGACTATTACACAGACAGACATCCACATACCCCCAAATGCAGCTTTAGAGTGTTCATGACCCCTGTCAACATGTCCATGTGAAAGCACAGGTGTGGATGGGTGTGGGGGTACACACAGACACATGCACACTACGGGTGCCTCACAGTTTGCTGCTAAAGAGTGGAAAAGCTGTTTCTGTATAGGCTGATGTTGGCTCATTGCTAGTTCTTCACAAGTTCGAGAAGCTCTAGGTTCTTTCTGAATTGTTGTTGTGATCCGACTTTGCAGGCCAGGAATTCGTAGGTTCACTACTCTTGATAAGTCGTCAGAAAAAAGGTTTTACTCAGTAAATTCAGCATCGGTGTGTCTTTATTGGATACAGGCGTCCATAATAGTCGAGACATGTTGGCTCTTTTGTCTCTTCCTCCATCTTTGTGTTGCCGACTGTGTCGCGCGGTGATGTTTGCATGCGTCTGGGAGAGACACAGCCAACCCAGGAGGCCAAGTGCTGACATTTCAGCCCGCAAAGTCACAGATGAATTTGGAGCAAATCTCATTATACCGGACAGAATAAAGATGCTGCCTGTGAAAATGCTGTGGCATATGGACACTTTATCTCCCCCCATGTTTTTTAATAACTTTACACACACTATCTCGTTTCCCACTGATGCATATTTTAGCTGCAATCCTGCGCGGCGGTGATGCAGACAGCTCGCCTGCACCCCTGAGGACACTTATGCCACCTGTGACCTTTTCCTTTTTATGCACAAACACACTGCTTACAGCAAACTGATGAGCAGCGCTCATTCGTACCATATTCCGTTGGCCTGGTCTTTCCTTGTGGCGCATGTTCTACAGGCCAATTACAGACATTGATGTATTTGGAGGTGCATTTATAAGTGGTGACCTGATGCAGTGGCAACAATCATGCTGACTAATTACCCACCAAGGTGCCTGAGCGATGTGGGGCTCTTAGCAAAGGCAACTGAATCCATCTTCTTTATGCATGCAGACAGGCCTGCTGCTGGCTGTTACGCTGACAGGGGACAGTTTCGGCTGGCTGTTTGGGCTTGATTCGTGCTCTTCCCCGATTTTGAGCTCCGTTTATTAACATATGAATATATTTACAGACCCTGAGAGTACTCCCAAGAATCCCATCACGGTGAAAGACAAAAAAATATAAGGCCCTCCAGATCTAATCTAGATATGGCAAAGGCCTCCTTTGAACACCTACGACAAATTTACCCCTTGGTAAATCAAGCCGTCACACTCGATGCAATTTCTATTTATTGTAGTGCTTTAAAAAAAGTGTACTAAAGAACTGCTAGTTCTTTAAATTGCCGGAGACCTTGTCTTCGCTCATGTTTTCCTACTCCACACCCCACAGCATCGTCTAGCACACTGTGGAGCAGATCTTCACTGTCACATTGATACTTTCGTGAGTGAGAGAAGGGCAGAGGGGCTTTTTATGCAGTGAGTGTACATGGACTCAAGTCGTCTTGTTTATAACCTGTGCTTTCTGGATCACCAGTTGGTTCCTCTCGCCCAGTGGTACATGTTCAAGATACTCATGGTAGCGCTGACCCTCTGTGGAAGGTCACACAGAAAAAAAATTCTGAGCCTTTTATTTGGACTTAGCTCACTCTTCTCTTTGAGCGGCAGTTAAGCTCATTTGGAGTTCACAGATCTATTACAGTGTTGTGAAACCTTTTTTTTCTCAACAAGCAGGGATGATGAAGAACATAAACCCACAGTTGCAGATGTGTTTTTTTTAAATTACACTTTTGCTCAAAATATCTTCAATAAAATCTCTGCAAATGTAGTCAAACGATTGCACTGGTAATCACACAATTCTGAAGTTGAAGCCTCGATGCTTCTGTAGTTAAAGTAATGAAAACTTGTATGACAACAGGAAGAACATTTAGAGGAGTGCACATGTGCGGTTCTATTGACTAGAATTAAGTAATTTAATTTATTTAAAATTGCATTTGCTATTTAAGCAACCTCAAGTAAATAGAGAGGGAACATTGATTTTGTAATGAACAGTAATAAAGGGACTTCGCCATTACTCCACACCCTAAAAGCATAAGCTACCTCACACCCCAGTGAGCCACTTAATTGCCCACATCCACATAAAAAGGCCTAATGCACGCTCCCTGCGCTCCCACACATATAAAGCTATAGGAATCAAATGGAGTATAACTAATACAATTGATTTTGATCGGGAAGTACGAATAACACGATAACTGTGTCTTGCCAAGTGCTACTAAGGGGCACGCTCCGAGAGCCGTGCATCCTTTATGAGCCGCTATTTATTGTGCTTTTAATGAAGCTTGATTGGCAGCATGTCCTAGTGCCCATTATCATCAGAAGGATGTGCTCATTCTAATCTGCAATTATCACCATAATTGTGCTCAGAATCCTCTGGGTCCAAATAAGCAATCACTTCCACTGCTGCTGTGCCACCTGTAAGTGCTGCTCAGGAGGACACCCTGACAGGCTGACAGGTCTTCATATCAAGGGTCCTTTTTTTTTTTTGTCTTTGGCTTTTTGTCTCCCTCTGCTCCTTATTTCTCGCGCCGTGCTTCCCTGCTTTAAGTTTCACTGGAAATTTTGTCTGGGGTTGACTTTGTTTCTTTTCCTTTTCTCACATGCTCTTGATTAACCTTTCCCTTTTTTCCCACACGGCGCCATCCCCACACTCGTCCTCCTTCCTTTATCTCCCTCTCCTTTTCCTCGCCCCATCCGTCCCACTCCTCTCGCATCCCCTCCCAGCTCAAATTCCTAACCTTCGGTCACTTTCATCCCCGCGGTATGCATAAATGCAGGCCTATTATCAAGCCGGTTGTCGCATCATAATTATGCATTTTGTCATGTGCTGCCTCTGTAGCTGGTGATAAAAGGAGAGCCTGATTAAGCTGAAGGAAAGCTATTGATTCCTATTGACAGGCTCCTCAAAGGCCTTTAATGAAGGAGATGTAAATGAGGGTTTTCCACAGCGTTTAATGACTGCGTACCATAAAAGGCCAACATTCTTCTGCAGTCTGAAAGAGACATGCATCACTGACAATGGTGCACGAGGGACACTTTCAGTTATAGTGATGTTCACAGGCGATAAAAGGGTGAGAGAAAAACACGAGAGTGCTGGAACAGAAATTGCAACTAGGGATGCAACGATACCAATTTTTTCAAACCGATACTTGGATCTGAGTACTTGCCGATACAGAGTACAAAAACCGATACTTCTACCACACACAAAAGCAATGAATTGGAAGACAGGTTTTATTTTATTCGCTGCTGATAAAAAATAAAATCTTAATAAAAATGACCACAAAAAATTTCAAGTGAAAAATAAGCACTTCTGTTAAATTATTGCGGAGTCTCCACATTGTAATTTAACAAAATATCACTGAACTATTGGCACTGTCTCGAGCTTTCAGAATAATAAATAAACACTTCTGTTTGGAATGAAATAAATACAAATTAGGTTTGAGAATAAAATAAACTTTTAAATTATTGCAGAGTGTCCATATTGTAAACAAACAAACAAAATAACGAAAGTATTTGGCATTGACGAACAAACTCCTTATCTGCCCCGTGGATCATCAGTCCACTGTGCCGTTAAATCAGGGACTGACATCGCACACACTGGTTGTCTTTACCTCTTCAGAAAGTTTTGGCACCATTATCTCCCTGATGTGTGGGCAGTTGGGAATTTCATATCGCAACTCGAGTATGCTGAGAAGACGGTGCAATCCTATGTTTTCCACGGCCGGCATTGGCTGGTCATCCAGAGAAATAAAATGAGTCAGAGCCTCTGTTATTTTAACTGCCAGTGGATTTTCTCTTGACATTTTTCATCGCTTTTCCAAAACCTGCGTTAAAGTTGGCTGTTCCACACTGCTGACATTTTGTTTAGCCTAGCTACAGCAGCCTCCAGTTTCTCTTTTTTATCTGGAGCTGCCAGTCTGACTCGCCTAACCCTGTGCCTGTTTAGCGCGGGATGTCCCCCTAGTGGCCAATCTAAAAACTACAACAGAAATGACAAGCCACCCTCTGATTAATGAAATAAGTTAGTATCGTTTCATAGTATTGGTTAACTTTTACGAGTATGAGTACACACACATTTTACAGTATCGGCCCCGATACCCGATACCAGTATCGGTATCGGTGCATCCCTAATTGCAACTGTTGGATTTAAAAATCCTTGGCACCATTTATGTGGTCAGGTAAATTGCTGCAACGCAGAATTACCTGTAACAGCATGCTAGCAAAGCCAATGCGTACCAAAGCATTAATGAGTCTAAATATCTAATTTCCTTTCTTTTTTTTCTTTCCTAGCAGTCAGATGGCGCCTAGTAACCACGACCGGATACAGAGACTGAGGAATGAGTTCCAGCAGGCCAAGCAGGAGGACGACGTAGAGGACCATCAGCACACCTACAGCTTCAACCAGTCCTGGGTGAGTATCGAGTAGGAGCTGTATTCCAGGAGCGTGTACATACCCCAAAAATTCTTCGGGATCAATCCAGAGTTACTAGCTGAATGGTTTCTTAGGCCTACACGTATTTTTTATTGCTTACTAAGACTTCTATTCAGTTAACTTGAATGTATTTATATAGCGTCAAATTAAGACACTTTATATATAAGGTAAACTCCCTGTTAACAGGTAGAAACCTCTGACAGAACCAGGTTCAGGGAGGGGCGGCCATCTGCAGGGACTGATTGGGCGTGAGAGGAGGGAGGCAGGACAAAAGAAACCAGGGGCCAGAGTTTAAAATGAATTTCTAATGATTAAAACCTACAGTGCTTTAAACACGTGGAAAGCAAAGATAAGGTCTTGAACGCATTGTAGTAATATGAGTGTTTCTGCCACTCACTAAAAAATCGTTCTAATTCTAATCTCAAATTTTTACAAACAACCTCATTGTTTCATACTTTTTGTGCCTTAATCACCGGTCTGTATTTATTCTGTATTTAGTGGTGAGTCGAGCAAAATATCGTTACCGATATATCGTTGCTGAGGCAACGTGCATTGAACACGACACGTGAAACAAACACAACTGGAGAATGTAGCATCGGGTTCATGTGGGGATGATGAAATGAACATATTATTATATAGGAAAATCCAAAAAAGTGGGTTTTATAATCTTTTTTTCTTTTTTAAAAAGACACATAGATGTTAATAATTGTTGAGTGTGTAATGATTGGCCCACATGTTAAGGAAAAGATGGTCATTTAATTAAAGTAGATTAAAAATATTAAAGTAATTTTTATTAATTCCAAATGATGTGGCATGAAGCAAAGAGCAAAAACAACAATATTACTAGTTTTTTATAACACAGCATGAAACTGTCACTGGTGCTGTCGTGTGATGCCATCAACCTTTTAGACAGCAAAACTGCCAAACTGCAAAAACATTAGTTTTCTCTATTACCCAAAGCTACATTTCGTAGGCTAATTCTTAATTTCTGGATCCAACCTTTGACCTAGACATAATTGCTTATCTGCAGTCACTGCATGTGCCTTTTCACTCTTGGAAATATGACACACTTATGGAAGGAAGGCGATGTTAGGGGAGAGAAACTAAAGACACCTACCCGCACTGTTCATTCTAATTTTCATTAGACTTGATTAAAGGGATTTTTAAATTAAAACAAATTTAAATTAAAATTTGAGAATAGTTGCTTTAAGCCGTTCTACTCTCCACCGATTGATCTGTAACAACAATGGGATTTATTCTTCATAATTGGAAAAATGTAATCAAGTTAATTCTTTTGTTAATTCATTCACACTTGATCTCATATCCATCCCTGCTGTGCATTAAAAGTTCAGGAACTTTAAGTAAGGAATCATATCCTTTTTCCAAACTCTCTGTCAGGTCACCGATAATTTAAACTGTTGTCCCGCTTTTTACTTAACTGGTGCTTTAGAAGGTGTGTAACTCATTAAAAACCATAACAAAAAAAACACAGATAACCAAGTCGCGGGATATGTGGGATGTCAAATACCTCCATGTTATTTATCAAAAATAACTTACAGTGACTTCAGTTTTTTTGGTTTCTTTTTTTACTCTGTAAGTTTTTGACCTCGGAGAAAAGAATGCGGCTAATTGTTGCTCCTAGCAGAGCTATTTAGAAAATGACGGGCCAGAAAGTCAGACCTTGAAAGTTAAAACATTTTGCATGCAATTTTCTGGAGAATTATCAGTGTTGGTTTGTCAGTTAAATTGGTTTGGAGTGGCCAGGATC